TGAACCACGCACGCCTCCTGGATATTAATTGAATAAGTTGTGCTGCTTATATTTTTGAAGCTTTCGTAATTCATGGAATGCGTTTTTTTCCCCCTGTTAGGACCATTTTGGGAACGGGCATCGCAGGGAACTACCGGCATCGCAGGGAACTATTCCTGCCCGCATATTTTTCGGTCTCTTTCTGTTCAGGGACTAATTGAGGTCATTGTTCTTGCTGAGTTCTACTAAAACACATCTTTGATAATAATTGGTCTTGGCATGAGGAGGAGAGTCATTGTACGAACACAAAACAAATGGTTGTTTTGCGAACCTAAATTTCGCGAAAAGTTCACTTTTTTAATACTAATTTCTTGGAAAATAACCACAGTGCATCTCCCTCTTGCCACAGTTCAGTTATGCTGTAGTTTCTTTTAAGGCATAAAAGTATAAGTTGAGTTTTTTGCTTTAATTTATCAGCATATTGTGTTATTTCAGTGTTGTGTTGCAATTTTAATATTTGTTAAGAATGTGAGGAAAAAAAATTTACTTGAATGTTTTTGTTATCATTCTCAGCTTTCTTTCCCTGTTCCTCTCATTTAGTTCAAACCGTACAAACATTTGCCCGAACGTGTACAATTAATGGATGGAAAAATGTCGGCCAGAGTCTCCCATTAATTTGATTTCTTTTGACATCAATTTTTAGCATTATCGTGACAGTTCTAGGACACTTTGGGTTTCGAAAGCTTCACAAAAATGAAAACGCCCATTCATGCAAAGCGTGAAAGACGGTCACAAGTTTGCTAGAATGTTACCCAGTAACTGCGAATTCGAAAAATGAATTGATGTTTGCCCACTTCTGACTTTTCTGTTTCGACTGCGTCTGAGTCTCCCATAATTTAGGCTTGTGGCAATTACTAAAACTCGTTCGGCTTAACGGCGCCATATATTTTCCTTTTTTTTGAGTCCGGTTTGAGCTGCGAAAATCATAGCACCAGAATTTTTTTGGGTGTCGCGTTCGAGAATGTTGACTTCCCCCAGCATCGAATTTCATGCTGAGTATAAAGGCCTCTACAGCTGTCTCTCTCCCACAACCCTGCTGCTGTTTCCAATTCCTACCTCCAAGCAAGGTCTCAGTTGCTTTCCAGTCAATAACCCTGTCCCCTCCGTTCCGCTACAATTCATCATTTATTGCAACTAGCCCCCCAGAGCTTGGCTGAGCCGAGTTTTCCTAGTTACTTGGGATTGCTTCATATCTGTGGCGCAGATTTATTCGACTAAAACCGCAGAATGAGTAATACTTGAATGTGTTTTATTATATGATAATGTGTTTTTTTTGTGTTTGTAATTTTCTTTGTGATTTGTGTTTCTGTAAATTGAACGTTGTTGAAATGACCAGTCACGTGGAACATTCTCAAATTTTTCCATTACATCCTATTGTAGATAGTCAGTGGTGGGCCATCATTTCAAATCGATTGTGAGGGAGTTCGGATCGGACCGCTGGCACCGGCTGACAGATTCTGTCTACAAAAATTTTTCATAAAAAAACAGGTTTCAGCTTTCACA